GAAGTGTTGCTCAATAAAATTAGCATTTTAGAAAAATCATCCTGGTAGTAGTATAGAAGAAGAATTATTGAAGAGACGAGATAGGAAAACAAATCAGGAGACTATTGCAGCAGTAACACTAACTGGTGGAGTGGCATCAGATGCCAGAGCACCTGATTGACTTAATGAGTGACTCTGTGTGAAGCATGAGGAAGCAGTCCAAGGTGATGCCCATCTGTCTGGCTGGGGAAGCTGGGGGGCTGGTGATATCTTTCCCTGAGGAAGTGAACAGCAGGGGAAAGGTTAGTTTGGTTTTGAACTTAACCAATCAGAAGAGTCTTATTGGGTTGGCCAAAAGTTCACGTTTTTCCATAAGATCGTGTGGAAAAACCCAGACGAACTTTTTGGCCAGCCCAATATGTTGAAGCATCATCAGCATAAAAGGCAGATGAAGCAGTGAAAACAAACATTACTGCCCGGGGTAACCATGTGTTGTGAGGGAAGACGAGGGCCCAGTGGGTCTAGCAAACAACACTCATAGGCAGTGGCAGGATCACCAACAGAAAAATGGTTTCCCAGAAACAGGAGAGTTATTGACAATGTCATCTATCTCAGAGGCCTCAATGAATCAGCTAAATTTGATCATTTGAAGTCCACGATGACTTTAACTTCAGTTTTAGTGTTCTGATGGATAAGAGCTTTGTTGTAGCTGCTTGAAAGTGAATGGTTGAGGTATATGGATAGCAGTTATGTGCTATTTTTCAAGAAATTTAACTTTCAGTGAAGCATAAGGAAATTATGGAATCACAGTGAGAATTTGTTTTCTATTTTTATACTAAAGTAGAAAGATTTATGCTTATAGCCTTTAGACAAACAGCCAGTAGAGAATTTGGAAGAGTTTTAAGGATATCCCCACGGGGACAGCTGGAGGGATTAATCTTGAATGGAAGGGTACCTCTTTCTCTGACATTAGGAGAAACAGAAAGGTAGGTGCAAGAGATATGTTTTTAGAAGTGAGGATTTCGGGGGGTCCAGCACCAAATTTTCTCTCTGGAGTAAGGAAATACACTAAGAGAGAAAGGAGGTAAAGGTTTGTTATTGCAAGATGCATCGAGGTAAATTGGCTTTCCCTAAGGCATATTACTGCTGGATAAGTGGTTTGAATCAGGACTAGATCTTAATTTTGAGCTTCTCACAGAGGAATATATCAGTAATCTTTGAACTACCAGTCCTTGGTATATGTATCAAGGGCTCAAAAAATCTTGATTAAATATTACAAAGTAAAACTTTGTTATGACTGATCCCAATTAGAATTTTAGTTTAGTTAATGCAGCATTGGTGAACTGATTTGGGGGAGATTTTCTAGCACGTTACCTCACTGTAAAAATTTCTCTTTAATAGTAACAGTGTTTCTTTCTAATCCCTCACTTCACTGTCCCAACTTGCAAGGAAAATATCTGGAGCCTAGAGATAATGTTGTATTTCTCTTTATGACACCATAGCCAACTCATTTCTTAGGTTTTACTAACCTAGATATCACAGAAATGTAAGCTGCTTTTAGAACTTATATTATGAGATGTTAAGAGACCTACTTCAGATAACTTGAATCTCACTTTGGCTCAGGTTTTCTGTTTAACTTGTGTAATATTGGGATTTTAATTTTTACAACACACATATAACTTGCAACAAAACATTTCCTACATACTGTCTGGGTTTTTGAACTGTCTTCAAATTAAAGTATTATTTGCGTTGTTGTTCAAATTTAGTTCAAAAAATAGACAGTTGTGTGGAGGACGTGGGACAAATTTGTTAACATACGCATACAGACAGTATTAATAGCTTTTCCGTTATCATTTGAAACCATTTGAAGTGTCTTCACAAGTTGAAACTTTAAAAACAGTTCTTCAGGTGAATATAGCATATAAAGTTAGCTGAAATGTTTAGACTCGTAAGTGTATATGGAAATCAGTGTTATATATCTCCCAATGGTTTTACAATTTAGTCACTAAAAGGTAAACTATTGATGGCCTGTTTAGCTTTGTGCATTCAATTTTAGGTTAGAGCAGTGACTTTTTTAACATGAAAATTAACCCCCTCCTAGAGAATTAGTATTTGCATATTTTACACAAAACTGTTTATACCCAGAAAGAGTAGGCAAAACAGTTTTGTGATTAACTTGGCAGTTCTAGGTGTTTTTTTTTTCTTTTTCTCTATTATGAATTTCATTAAATTTTTATGCTTTTCTTTTTACACAGTATGGAGGTATTAAACTGACTTTGGCAGACTGTGGTTTTTGCATGAAGCAAGCAGAAAAGTGTGTTGTAAAAAGAGGATAGATTGTTGTAGGGTAGACTATCTTAGCCAACCTTTCTGTTGTTGTAAAATTATTAAGCAATTCTTTTCCACAGCATATATTTCAAAAATAGATATTGCTTCACTGTATTTAATGGTTGTTATTATTTTTCTTCCTTTAAATGAAGTAGTGAATATGTGTAAGCTAGCTTTGAAAATACGTGGAGTTGTAATTTCAAATCACTATAATAATTAACAATTATTTGAGTCAGCCTTAGAAACTGACTCATCTGCTCTGTTAGGTTGCCACTTATCACTTCATGGACATTCGAATAGTCTCTAAGAAATGTGTCCTTGGGCTTCCCTGATGGTGCAGTGGTTGAGAGTCCGCCTGCCTATGCAGGGGACACGGGTTCGTGCCCCGGTCCGGGAAGATCCCACATGCCGCGGAGCGGCTGGGCCCGTGAGCCATGGCCGCTGAGCCTGCACGTCCGGAGCCTGTGCTCCGCAACGGGAGAGGCCACAACAGTGAAAGGCCCGCATAGCACACACACACACACACACACACAAAGAAATGTGTCCAGAAAGAGCAAATTATAAAAATGCTTAGGGAAAACATGTAACTGTAGATTATAGTTGGGGTTTTTTAACAGTATTTTACTTAAAAAGAGTGACAAGTCTTTCCGTTTGAGTGGAGGCATTTAAGTATCCTCTTGTAGTTTTCTTGGTATCCATTTTTGTTTTAACACAAGTAAATGAAGGCAGATTGTGTGTGTGTGTGTGTGTGTGTGTGTGTGTGTGGTGTCCAGCATACACCTGTTCTTTTGCACCAGATTTCAAAATGCTTTGTTTGACACGTAGGATAAAAATTTTTAAGAACACAGAAGTAAAACTGAAAAATGATTCTAAAAAGAGAAGTGGATTAAATAGTTAAGTGATAAATATGTCATTTTGTATATAGTACTTCCATTTAAAAGCATAGCATTCTGAAAAATTTACTGCATCTTCTTACTGCATTACATATTTTTAATTACCCTTATTTGTAGTGATGTTAATGATAACTAATATTTATATAGCACTTGATTTGTATAGCACTTTAGGTTCCCTTTACCAGCATACTTTGTTTAATCTATTTCATATTTAATATGTTATTTAGTGCTTTATGGTTAGCCTATGTGAATAGCACTTTGTAATACCAGTTCATTGTTACTGCTCTTCATGTACATTTCCTTTGAAGCATACGTACTATTTTTATTATCTCCATTTAAAGATGGAAAATGAAGTTCAATGATGTTAGGTGATTGCATTGTTACTTTAGCTGTTGTATCAATACAGTCAACTTTAATTTTGGTCAATGTTTAATAATGGCTCCTTACAGAATTTTTCTAGCTGGATAATTTTTCTTAGCATTGGTGTAGTATTTGACCCCATCTAACTACTTTGAAAAATATTTTTATTTTTTATAAGATGATACCACAACAGTTTAGGAACCTTAGAACTATATTATCATCTGGTCTTAATTGACTTTTTCACCAAATTATCTTTCCTTCAAGAGAAAAACTTAATCTAAGATATACCATTTACTATCACTGTTTGAAAGAAGGGAAGCATTTACAAAAATTATGTAAATAATGAGTCAGATAAAGGGCATGTAACCACAACCCAGTACTACTGTATACAGAACACCAAAAGGGAATTTTTAAATACTAATACAGTAGAAGTCCTCTGTGTAGTTTTGATTATTGCAAAAAAAGAGAGAGAAAGGAGCTATTTTCATCTACTGATATTTACATACCATAAACTATCATTTAACAGTTTGTTAATTCACAGATTACTTTTGAAACTGTTTCAAATTTTTTCAAAATTAGATCACATTTTATTGTGCTTTTTGAAAGTGATAAAAATAATAAGATGAATGATTTATTAATAATGAGTGACTAGATCACTGCTGAAATTGTTTGAGTTACAAAATGAATTTACTAGACATTTAAAACTTTTTTTGTGACATGTATTTTTCTACAGTAGCTGTAGTTATAATGTTGCACTTGTTATGCATTTCATTTCTGTGAAACCATTGTACTCAGACAACGATAGTAGGATTTTTGTGTTGTAGAACATTGTATTTACTTACAGAAATTTTGCTCGTTCATTATTTTAGTTGTTCTTTGACATTGTCTTAAGAATGAGATTTTTTGATGCAGTGGAAACTATTTCACTTGGCAAGTTAGGTTGCAGCTGTGTTATCTATGTCCCCATGATGTATATAAACATGAATATTACAGGTGTTTTCTGTGCAGTCTCTGAAAAGGAAGTACCTGCTATTTCGAAAATGCTAAAGAAATGTGGGTGTGAAACGTTTTAACCCTTTCTTAATTGAAAGCAGTCAAGGAGTCACTTTTATTTTTCACATTTCTTTTGGCATAACTTTTAAGACCACTCTGAGTTACTAATAAAGTCAATTCCATGCTAAGCAAACTTGTTTTCAAAGTAAGGCAGATTGACTTTTATATAGTCACGCTTTCACTATCACTGTATTCCTTCTTTGATAAAAACTATTCTGTAAAAACTTTAAAGTTTTGTAAACTCTTAAAAACTCAGCATATAAATCATTGCCACTCCTTTTGACGTGTGTCCTGGTTTGCATCGTAAGCAACTATTTCTCATCCAGTTTTTGCATCAGTAACCCAGGAAATTACGCTTTCGTTTCTGATTTGCCTTTCCTATTACAGGTTAACAAAAATCTCTCATTTACTTCAGTATCAGCCTCCTCACAACAGTCGAAGTCAAAACAATCAAACATGCTGGACGCTCATCAGATTCTGCGTCAATTTGGTTTCACTCAGACTGGTGAGCCCTTCTTGCTTTGACTGTTCTTTCAATGTTCAGATTCTGTTTTTTAATGGATATTGTTTATTTCACTTCAGAAATCTGGCTCATAGCATTGTAATGGTCAGTTTTCACACCTGATGAATTATATTCCAGCGTTTTTTCTTTCTAAATTATTTCAAAAGCAAATTTGAATTTGGTAATTTTATTTTATTTATTTTTAATTTTTTTTTAATTTGGTCATTTTAATAGTAGACACTCCCAACCTCTATTCTGTTGAGCAGATAATAATTTAAAGGTAGCAAAACGTGTGAGTTTTAAACATGTATATAGTATGAAATCTGATTCAATTTCCCTTGGGTAAAGGAACGATAGTTTATGGATAATCACATTTTGTAATTCATTTCAAGGAAAGCCTAGATAAAATGCATTTTTGCAGAAACAGAATACATCCTGCCAGTACTATCATGTTTCTTCAAAATGAGAAAATTAAGAAAATATGCAAAGAAGCTAGTTATTAAAATGTATATCAATCACAGAGTTGAAATGAACTATACAACTGCAAATTTTTAGGCTAATGTTTTAAATTAATTTGAATAAGGTTTTCAGAGGATATTGAAGAAAAAGCATCTAGGTGAGAAATGTGTATTTTTGGTATTGAAAGATGACTATTTCTATTCATTAGCTTTAGGTTTTTTATGGTATTTTTTCTGCTATTGAAGTCTTTTAGAAAGATGAGACAGCTGAGAATAACAAAACAGTTGTCTTTGACAGAGAGTTATAAGAAGAAGAAGAAACTTGAGCTTGAAAAGATCAACATACTTTATTTAGAAATTTAGGAACAATATTACTTTTCTACTTTGAAGGTATTTGGAGTTTACATGTGCAAGTTATTTTAATATTGCTACATTTTAATATCGCTGAGTTACGTATCACAGTGGGAAAATACTTGGTTCAGGAACTCTTACGTTCAGTCTGGCTGTGCCTTTTATTATCTTTATTACCTGCAAATGTTAGAATCTTCATTTTAAAACTAGAAATGATGTTTGCATTATATATTGTTGAAGTTCAAATCACGAAGCACATATGGAAGCACTCTATAAGCATAAGATACTATATGAGTGTAACATACTTATATCGTAAACAGGATGAGTGTGTACATTAGCTTTGAAAATACTTTGAGTTCTAATTTTAAATCACTATAATAATTAACAATTATCCCAAACCTTAGAAATTTTAAATTTCTAGTGTTTCAGATACCGCTAGAAGTTAGAGCAACAGCTTTGTTCTTGTGTACAGTGAGCGGGGCCCACCATGGCTGCTCCTGTAGACACATTCTCTGCACCCTAACTCGATACTTGGTTTGCCTTCAGACCGCGTCATTTTAATGACTAGGAGGGAGGGAACCTGTCTCCACCACTTGATCCCTATCTTTCTGCTGAGGTCTAAAATTCTTCCAGGAACAAATCTTTCCTTCCACACTTCAGGATTAAGGGGATAGAATATGAATGTCTGACTGAGTTAGCAGACTGATTACAGTTCATTCAAGTAGTGTCTTAAGTTTATCAACCAACAAGGTGTAGATAATAGATATAAAATTCTTTTTCTGTAAACGGAAAGAGCAGAGAGGATAGGTAGGAAGGCCTTTGAAATGGAAGAGCGATTACCACTGTGACAGATAAAGACTAAAGATAAAGAATAAAAGGAAAGTCCAATATGATAAAGGCAAGCCTTGCAAACTTCACAATTATACGTAGGATTGGCTCCATTTACCTTCAGCTTTCCGTGGCCATATAGGCCTTGAGTGGGCCTTTTAAATCATGTATGTCCCTTGGTGTGTGCACTATCGCAGGAGCATTACCATTAAGCCATGTAATACATGGTAAGAATGCTTTGCTTGATTTTTAGCTATTGATATGCCTGACCTCATTTTAAGGCATAGCCTTCCTATAAAATTTATTGAGATATTGCTGTACAGAAAAGTTATAAAAGCAGACTATGTAGTCCTTTGCAAAATGGCCAAATCCATCTTATTCATTAAGAAGCCAATCTTCGTGGAAAAAAATCCTGCCCTAGGAAACAGGTGAACTAGTTTCTACACCTGACTTCACTTCTGAATGACTACAGAATCTTTAGTAATTTCTTCAGGCCTCAGTTTTCTCATCCCTGCAGGTAAATGAGGGCTCTGGATTTGGTGAGTTTCTGTCTTAAAAATTCTTTGAGGCTACTCAATATTCAAACCAGTTTTAAAAGGGGATAAATAGTTAAGTGTTCTTGACTGTACAAATAATCTATTAGAAACTGAAATGAAGGACTATGGGAACAATGTAGATAGGATGTTTAAAAATAAAAGTCTTACTGAAAAGCTATCAGCTTTTGGCTTTGTACAGTATAAAGAAAGACTATTTACACAGAACTAGTCAATATGGGCCCACTGGCCTTCATGCAAGAGGCTTAAGAGGAGGGGTTGATTTGATATATATTATATATAAGTGAGTTTATATGCTGGAAGACAAGACCCAGAGTGCGTTTATGGTCTGCTGTGACTTCCATTGACCTTATTCAAGGTGAGTTCTGGGTAATGGAGGCTGCTAGAAAAGTAAGACTTTCTTTCTTCCTTGGTTTGTATTCTTCAGAGTTTCTAGAATACTATCTTTATTCATTCTAAAATCATTTTAAGTGGCTCCTTTGTTTAAGTCCCTTTCTTAAGGATATGGACTAAATATGGCAGTCTCTGCCCTCAAGGAACTTACAGTCTGGTTGGGAAGACAAATGAGCACGCAACAAATTATGTCAGAGTGTGATAAATTCTAAAATCACAGTATAAACGAAGTGTCACTGAAATATAGAGGGATGAAGCAGCTGCGCGATTTCTCGTACTTTACATGTCCACGCAGAACTCTTGCCCCCAAACCGTTCCTCCACTTCCACTTCCCCTGCCCCACACCAGGTCTTCCCACCCAGCACTCCGGCACATGTACCCAGTCATTTAGGTTGAACCAGAAGCCATTCGGGATCCCTCTTCTCCCTCTACTTCCCTGCTTTTACTCCTGTCCCTTAGCTTATTCTCCCCGCAGCAGACAATGTGATTCTCTGAAAAATAAATTAGATCCTGTTACTTCTCTGCTTAAAACTCTTAAATGGGTTTCTGTGGCGGTCAGAATGAGTTCCAGAGTCCTTATAATACCTTCCAAGGACTCACCTGTGTCTTTGTCATCGGCCTCATCAGCAGATGGGGCTGCAGGAGGGCACGCTGAGCCGAGAGGCAGGCAACTGAAACAAACAACTGGAAGCGAGCTTGACTTAGCTAGGCAGTGGTTTGAATCTTAGGTTAGCTGGAGGAAATGGTGAGATGGATGTGTTTAGGAAGAACTGAGTTGCAAAGTAGATTGGGGTCAAACTGTGCCCTACTGAGGAATTCACATTTTATTCTCCAGATAACATAGAGCTATCCAGAGGTATGAGGATGAAAGAGAAATGATAAAATTTGTTTCTAAAAAATACAGCTCGGGCTTCCCTGGTGGCGCAGTGGTTGAGAGCCCGCCTGCCGATGCAGGGGACGCGGGTTCGTGCCCCGGTCTGGGAAGATCCCACATGCCGCGGAGCGGCTGGGCCCGTGAGCCATGGCCGCTGAGCCTGCGCGTCCGGAGCCTGTGCTCCGCAACGGGAGAGGCCACAACAGTGAGAGGCCCGCGTACCGCAAAGAAATAAATAAATAAAATAAAATAAAATAAAAAATACAGCTCGTGTCTTAGTGAGGGATGGGTTAGAGAGGAAAAGAGCTGGATACAACTCTTATGAGATACTTATTTTAGGAACTGTTCATTAGGCTTTTGCTCTAGGTTCTTAATGAACAAAATAATAAATCAGCTAATTTTATTAAAATTAAAACCATAAATCTTTTCTGAGTAATTTGTATAAGAAAGAAAGTTATAAAATTATATTTGTCAATTATACCTTTATAAAGCTCGGAAAAAAGGACATTTTAATTTTAACATTTTAGGTTAAATTGTAGGTTATAGTTCATAAATGTCTCACCATATGGTGAACATGTTGTACTGCATCTCAAAACTGTTTCCAAACTTCCTTAGTATAATGAAGAAAATCTATAAAACAACAACAATAACTTCTATTTGTATCAAAATTTATTTATATACATCTTCATTTGATCCTCAACAAAACCCTCTGAAAAGTAGGGTAAACATTAAAATCATAGAGTGTAAACTCTTTTGAGAGCTGCTAGGACCTTAAATCTTTGACTGTCAATCCCTTTACCGTGAAACTGAGAAGCAGAAGGGCTGACGTGTCAGAGTTCACATAGCTAGTGACATTGGTATCTAGAGCAAGATCTCATCGCGCCTAGCTCAGTACTTCTCACCCTCACCATCCCACGCTGCCTCTGCCTTTGGCTGGAGGGGGGCACTAGCTCAGAAGTGAAGTGGACCCTCAGTGAGGCTATGCCTAGAGCCACTCCTTCATTCCTGGCCCGTTGTCCTCCCACTCTGCCCAGAGGTCCCTCTGGCCACGGGCATGTGCTTTTCTTACTAGCATTGGAGGTGTGTGATATATTGCAAAGTAATAACCTGTACAGTACTATTTGGAATAGGTGTAGTTGTTAAAACTGAGGTGTCACGAAGGTATTTTCTAAGAATTAATGAAGTTATCTTTTTATCTGACCTTTAAATATAATTCTGTGTTCACCAGTTATTAGATTTCTTAAAGCCTAGTTCCAGTGAAATTGTGGTGTTTAGTTGCCAGTCAAATCAAGAGATTCTCTGCAGAGAAATTTTGTTCTGAGATAGTTGGTCTGAATCCCAGATCCCATTCAACTATCTTGAGAATCCTTATTATATCAATAGTAGTAAATTTTAACATGTGGATTATTCAGTAATAAAATCAATCACAGTTATGAGGGTGGAAGTTAGAGGAAGTACTTATCATCTTTGCATGACTATATTTGAAGGACAGCATCGTTCATTTTTGTGTACTTAGTATATCTTTTCACAGCATTGCACTAAATT